TTAGATACTACTGTGTGCTATGAATTGTGGTACTTTCACTGTGCAAAGTCCTCTGCACTTATGGAAACATAGTAGTTACTGATGGAAATAAATGCTTATAAATATTTCTGTATTGTTGTTCCTCATCACGGAAGTCCCAAATTAGCTTATCTTTGGTTTGTATTGTGATAGATTATTTTTTTATTATTTTAAAAGTCTCTGTTTGAGTTGGTGATTTGAATTTCCACCCAAAAGTTGTTAAATGACTTTTGGCCAGTGATTAGACTATCTGGCCACAGAGAAGAGCAAGCACAGGATGACTTCACTGGCATTGGGAACGAGAGGGAGAAACTTAAGCAATACTGATAAAAAGCATATTTAAACAAAGATATAACAACATTGTAAATCAGCTTGTCTACTTTAACTGCCATTCCTTCTTCAGAACCATGGAGCAAGTTTTAATAACTTAGGTGTCCTGATTTGTGCATTATATGCAATACATTAAGAAATTATTAGAGCATAAATATAGTTTCACTATTATTCTCTATCCCTCAAAAAATCACTGAATTATGAATATTTGCTTAATTCTAATTCAGGTATGGTCATGTATAAAGAAATAACATGGTATGATTTTTATCTGCCATATTTCTTCCCATAGCATTGGAAAGATCAGACATGCACTAAAAATAGATAAAGAAATTTGAAAGGCAGGTTAAACTACAAGGTAACAGGTTTTATCTGTAAAAGTGTTGAGAAGAGTGGTCCAACAAGGCTAATGGGGGATGAACTAGAAGAGTAGAACTTTGTTAGTCAGAAGACAAGGGAAAGATTGAATGAATAGGACATCAAAAGAGAATTAAAAGTATCTTCAAATAAATGGAAAAGAAATCATACCTGAAAAAGAGAAACACTTTAAAAAAAATTAAAACCCTAAGTTGTTGGGTGAGTAGAAAAGAAACAAAGAAGAAAGGTGTTTATAGTGGTGAATTCTTTCCTCCTATAGTTAGTCCCATTGTAGGGATGAAGCAACTTGTTATAAACGATGATAAAACTCAAATCAATATCCATCTCAAGCAATCACATTGTGTTGTAATTTCCTATGCATGAGACTCTCTTCCCTCATGACAACTGAGTTTTTTCAAGTGGAATCTCATTATGTCTTTCTTCCAGAGGCCAACTTGAGTAGAATATGCTGAAAAATTTTCTTAGATGTATAAACAGGGAAGAGAGAAGGAGGAGAGAGAACTTTGTAGGCAAGTTGCTTACTATCTAGTAAAAATCAGGCATGGTATACAGAAGGCCAGCTTGAGGGAGAAGAATCGGGTCTAAATGGAACTGCAAAAGCATCTTTCTGTGGCTTGAGAGAAGTGATTTATTCTTCTGTAGAGAATCAGATCAAGCTTCATAAGGAAGCCAACCTTTGAGGATTCCCATGGAAACTCAGTGTGGCAACCCCCAAAAAGGATATAATGTTCATATCATAAACAGCAAGCAGGAGGGGGCACCATGCTGTAGCTTGAGATTACCAAAATACAGTGGCTCTTAAAAGAATAAACAAAACTGATGAATGCTAAGAAAAACAGATAAGCTTAATAAAATCAGAAATGGAAGAAGTGGCAGTATATTGGAAGCCTCAGAAATATAAAGGGTCATGAGGGATTGTTATGGATAATTATAAACCCATAAAGTGGATAACTAAGGAAATAACATTCATAGAAACATGCAACTGACCACGAATGAATCAAAATCAAATAGAAACAGACCAATAAACAGACAGGGAAATTGAGCAGAAATTAAAGACCCCTTGAGAAAGGAAAGTGCAGGACTAGACAGCTGCATGGCTGAATTCTACCATCCAGAGAACATGTAATTCAGTTATAAACAAGCAAACAAAAAACCAAGAATGTGTTCAAAATAATTTGATGAAGTCAACTTTACATTGACAAAAGAAAAATTCAGGCCAATATCTGTGATGTCCACAGATGAAAACTCCTTAGTCAATACAAATAAAACAAATTTGACCACACACCCAAAATGTGTACAAGATGAGCAATTGGGATCCACCCCTGGGATACAAGATTAGTTTCATTTGCAACTTAATCATGATGATTGTTAGAAAATGAAAGAAAAGGACCACATGATCATCTCAATAGATGTAGGTTCAGCAAAATCCACCCTTTTGTGATAATGTGTCCACAATACAGGCAGGGAAAGAAATTTTATCAACAGAAAAAAACCCACTTATTGGAAAGCCATAGATAATAGGATAGCAAGTTAGGAAAAATCAAAAGTTTATTTATTTTTTTATCTATTCTAAAGTGTACTATAACGGTAATCAAGCAAGAATACTGGGAAATATAGGAAAGGCTAGTATGGTGATATTTTATTTGTACTGAAATGTGATTTTAATTTTATATTAATAAATAAAGTTGCCCTGGGGTCAGAGCTATTAGAGCCATAGCAAGAGCGTGGTGGTTAGAAGAGCTAGGTAGATTTCTGTGTGTTCAGGGATACAGCCAGTATTGGAGACATATGCCTTTAAGACCTGG